TCACTGTTTTATGACCCTTTGTGTGAGGGCATGGTAATTTGCAAATGTAATTCGCTTGGGTGTTGATGCACAAACTAGTAAAGATTCTTAGAACACATATGTTGCATAGGTATCAGCATGTAATATGCATTCTCGTTTAGATCATCAGAAGACGAATTCATAGATACTAAACATGGTAGGATTACATATAGGTAAGATTACATGAACGAGTGGTTCTATCATAGGCCTGCATAAAACAGTATACAATATAAAAGACAATATACAAGGACAGTAACAACATACACAATGACCTGAAGGATATGCGTGTTCATTCAAAGAAAGGTTTTCCTATGAATTAATTAGAGAACCATCATCTGATGATTCTTCATGTTTGGAAAGTGACTCAGGATACTTTCAGGATAATAAGGAAGCCATGACAGCTCAACCTGAAAATGAGAGTCTACTCACTTCCACTGTTGATGAAGAAGTGAGTGGAGTTCTGGAATCTGAAGCTTTTCAGGACAATGTTGAGTATTCCAATACAGAAGCCATGCAGAGGGACACTCTCGATTTGAGGGATGGACCTGAGGAGAAGCCTTTCATATTTGAGGATCACAGTGAGCCTGAATGTCCAGTTCTGCAGTACAAGAGGGTTTCTATATCAGGAAGTGAGGAGGATATTAAACTGTGTGCTGATCATGCTGAAGAACCAACAGAGGAACCAGGCAAAAACCTTCCAAATGGTCATTCTGAAACCAACGAGAATAGTGACCTCCGTGATAGGGAACAAGAAGCTGTCTTGGAAAGTGAGGTGAAGGATGTGGTATTTGAGGAGCCAGAAGAACCTATCTCAGATTGGAGCCAAACAGAAGTTGAGATTCCTGATGAAGATCAAGTGTGTTATATGTGTGGAGGTCCTGTGGCAAAAAGCTCAGCTGAATCAAGCGAACAGGGTGACGATTGTCTGTCCCATTTAAACTCAACTGAGAAGGATTGTAATTCAGACTTGAGACATTTCAGTGAATCAGAAGGAAACTTTGAGGACAATCCAAGGGAAAAGAACAATGAATTAAACGGAACTGTATGTGATCTCAAGAATGAGCCAAGAGAGAGTAAAGGTATTCATGAAGATCTGCTTATTATAGGAAAGAGCCCCTTGGAAAATGGGTCAGATGGCATAAGGAGGACAGAGTTCTCTCACAATACAAACAGTGAAAGCCAAGCTCAGGTTTCAGACAATATGGAGCCTAGAGGGGTCAAGGATAACAGACCTGTATCAGTAGTGGACTCCCACTATGATGTTCTGAATTCCGTCACTGAGACCTTTGTGGAGCCTCTTTCTGACACCAGCATCCATGATGGAGAAAACGACTCTACACTGTCCCAAAGCCTGCACAGACTGCATCCAGAAGTGTCCAGCACTGAACTACCAATTGAAGAGGAGACCACCTTTGAGGACTCAAAGTTTGTTATTGGTGTCCGTGGGTACCCTGAAAGACGTCCTGCAGAGCTACGCCTGTCCCTCAGCATGACTCCGCTTCAGCCGGCACCTCCTAAGCGTTCACTTACTGAATCGGATACAGACACTGAAGACACATCAGAGGACCACGGCAAGGGATTTAAGTCGAGAAAGGTTATTTTTCATTCTCACTTTCCTATGGCCTAGAAAACAAGGCACAGTTTAATGCACGGACTGACCTACAAACAGAAGCAGTGGTATCAGCATATGAGTTCTTTCAGAGTCACGACCTCCTTTTCCAAATGTAGTTCACTTCAGCGCATTCCTCAAAGTGATCTTTTCCTTTAATGATCTGTTACAGTTGCTATCAAGTCCTTTGAGTATAGCGCAAATATTCAGAGCCAAAAGTACTAATACTGTATTCATTTTCCTCTCTAACATGCTTTCTTTTCCCGATTAAAGATTGATAGTTGAGATGAACTATAAAGACAAACTGGTAACACTTTAGTATAGGGACCGATTCTCACTATTAACTGGTTGCTTATTAGCATGCATATTATTAACATATTGGCTGTTTATTGGTACTTAAACTAAAAGCACATGCATAAAAGCACATATTTTGCATGACTATATTCTACATCTCTAATCCTACCCAATACCTTAACAACTACCTTACTAACAATTAATAAGCAGCAAATTAGGAGTTTGAGGCAAAAGTCGTAGTTAATGGCAAGAAGTGGACCTTAAAATAAAGTGTGACTGTTCAATTCCCTCACATAACGAGTATGTGGATCAGCTCTCTGTAGAGTTGGGTTCAGTTGCAGTGTCAAGCAGTGCTTTGTGTGACTTTCTTGGAGCCACATATGCTTTTACTGTGCATATTGAGCTGTGGTGCTCATATGGGCAGTATCAGATTGAGTCTGGTTCATGTCATTTCTCTATTCTCTCTCCTTTGTCTCCAGTTGACCTTTTAATAAGAAACAATAAAAAAGATAGTGGTTGAGATTCTGATATATAATTCATATTAAAAATGTAAAATCATTTATTGGTATAAATAATAGTATATATTTTTCATAGTTAATCTGAACTATCACTCTCTCTATATATACTAGTGTAAGAACGGGTTTGGTAAGATTTTTAAATGTTTTTGCCTCATTTAATCAAAAATACTGTAAAATAATTTTATATGGTCAAATATTATTACAATTTAAAATAATTGTTCTATTTTAATATATTGTAAAATACAATTTATTCATGTAATGGCAAAGCTGAATTTTTAGCAGCCATAACCTTAGTCTTCAGTGTCACATGATCATTCATAATCATTTTTATATGCCGATTTGGTATCAAGGAATCTGCTTAAAATTTTTATGGAAACCATGATACATTTTCAGGATTTTTGATGAATAGAAAATTCAAAAGGAAAGTTTTTATTTGAAATAGAAATGTGACATTTATAAATAACTTTTGATCAATTTAATGTGTCCTTGCTAGGTAAAATATAAACTTTAGCTTTTTAGAACTTCAAGTTATTTAAATACTTCAGTACTTGTTGCAGGGACAGTCAGTTGATAATATTACTAAAGTGGAAATTCATTATCTTAGGCCTGTATTCTGGATATTGAAATCTTGCATTATAGATTCACTCTGTTGTACATGTGTCCATCTAGGACAGAGCGGGATCCATGCATATCCAGGAGCAAAGCCCGTTTGACAGGCACCCGGGAGAATGGGGCGCGGTGGAGCCTGATTCACCCGCTGAGCATTGTGAGCTCATTAAGACAGATGACAACCTGACCATCAGCGCTGGTGCCAGAGAAAACACTGGGGCTATGAGGTACAGCTCCATTAATAGAGTCTGCTACAGATACTCAGCCCGAGCCACAGGGGAGCATTCTGTTTTCTGAAGGATGTGACCTCATACGCCTCTTAGATCCATTGCAAATTGCCTTAAATGTACTTAATGTTTAGTTTTAAAAACTGGTTGGTGAACAGGTCATATCCATTTTAGATGAATGATGCAAACGTTTTAATCTTACAGCATGTTGTGTTAATGTAAAAACGTGTGTTTTCCATTACAGATGATTGAAGTCATGAAGTTTACTCTGCTTTTTTTTTTTTTAATCTGTCATGAATAAATTAGCTTAATTGTAACTTGTAGCTCCATATATGGTTTCTTATAGTTCAGCGAGGCATATGAAACGTGTTTTATCAGCCATAACAAATTTGTCATTCTCTTAAAAGGGAAGGAGCTGTGACGGATGCAAGCCAACCTTTGACTACTATACACTTGAGAAAGGTCATTGACATCACTGAATCAAAGGTTTGTTAATGCAAAAGGTATTATTAGTGACAATAAAATGCATAGACTTTAAAGGATCCAAGCTGTATCTAGGGACAAGAGTATTATAGAGACTCCTAGGTGGGCTCTTTTGACTTCTGCCTGTAAATAAGACCCAGAAAACACTAGAAACCACATAGCATAATTGTAAACAATAGTCAGAACACCTTAGCAACCACATAGGAACAAACTGGCAACCAAAAATCAGTAAAATGTAAAAATCTCTTTGAATTATTTGATTGCACATCCTCAGGGTTTGTGACAATGTTCCTGTTTGTGCCCCTCAATTTTATAGACTTGTTAATGACATCAAATGTTTGTTTGTTTTTTTTGGAAGAAATTCATATTTTTATATGGCAAGAATGCATTACTTAGCAACCACATAGGAACAAACTGGCAACCAAAAATCAGTAAAATGTAAAAATCTCTTTGAATTATTTGATTGCACATCCTCAGGGTTTGTGACAATGTTCCTGTTTGTGCCCCTCAATTTTATAGACTTGTTAATGACATCAAATGTTTGTTTGTTTTTTTTGGAAGAAATTCATATTTTTATATGGCAAGAATGCATTAAATTGCATAAAAGAGGCAATAAATACATATATGTTACAAACAATGTTTTTGTAACATTTTGCTGCTCTTTCAATTCATCAAAGTGTCCTGAAAAAAATGAATTACGGTTTCCACAAAAAACTTTCAACATGGATAATAAGACGAAATGTTTTTGAGCTTCAAATCAGCATATTAGAATGATTTCTGAAGGATCATAGGACACTAAAAACATATCCATTTAAGATCCATTTTGGCAGCTGAAAATTCCGCTTTGCCATTACAGAAATAAATTACATTTTAAATATATTAAAATATTAAACAGTTATTTTAATTTGTAATAATATTTTCTTTTTTTGATCAAATAAATGCAGCCTTGGTGTGCATAAGAGACTTTTTTCAGAAACAAACAAAAAGAAAGATCGCACTGAATTCAAACTTTTGAACAATATTGTTACATAATGATCTCAGCTAGCAGTGTAGGTTCCACATAGTTAAAATCTAAAGAAGTTGACGGCCTTTTTTCTGGTACTATATTAATGTACTGTGTTAATTTGCATGTTCTTTGATTTCACCAATCTCTTGTTTTCTTTTTACTAGGGACAAAATGGGAAGGCCTTAGACCGCAGCAAAGTGGACAGTACCATCATAAATAAAAGGTAACTAAAACTATATATTCATACTGAATATCTTCAAGACGGATTTAGATAAACCTAATCTTTTGCTAAGTTATCAAAAAAAAAACACTGTAATGCAATACAAAGACTGTGATTCAGCCTGGGGTGTGGTATTATTGTTATTATCTTGTCTTACAGAAACAGTTAATCCCAATTTCCACCCTTACCTCATGCAATGTAGCAATTGGAGTTTTAAATGACTCCGTGCACTTAAAACCTGTTCAGGCAAACACTTCCATCCCTGTTTTATTAGACCTCACATCAATGAAACAGGAGTGTTTGTATTTGTTCAGACTGGGTGTATTTTTTGTACCTGTGATAGGAGTGTGTTTGGGGATTTTTAATCTTCAAATGTACGATGCTTTATGTTGTCAGTGGCAGTCCTGCAGTGATGTAATTGAGTAAACCGTTTGCAGCAAGATTAATCTAGGAAAGATGGAAGCACAGTGTATTGAGAGACACCCATGCTTGCTTGCCTGAAACTGTTTTTGCACAGTTATTTTACATGGCAAGATGCTTTCTTGACTTGAGTTTCATTTTGACAAGTCACTTGACAAGCGTTTGTCTCTAGTGTTGACATATTTTTATTGAAACCACAGTTCAAGATGATCCATCAATATTTTTGGTTTGTTTTCTTGGAAAAGAAAGAAATGTGTTTATCTGCTAAAGATTTAGTCAACTGCTATGAGGATACCAGCACATAAATTAGGCTCAAAGCTAACAGACACCGATTTCATAGGGTATTTAAAGGTATAGTCACCCAAAAATAAAAACGCTTAACATTTACTCATCCTCAGGCCATCTGAAATGTAGATAGAGTTTGTTTCTTCATCACAACGGATTTTAAAATGCATAGACTTTAAAGGATCCAAGCTGTATCTAGGGACAAGAGTATTATAGAGACTCCTAGGTGGGCTCTTTTGACTTCTGCCTGTAAATAAGACCCAGAAAACACATAGCAATCTGCTAAACAATAGTCAGAACACCTTAGCAACCACATAGGAACAAACTGGCAACCAAAAATCAGTAAAATGTAAAAATCTCTTTGAATTATTTGATTGCACATCCTCAGGGTTTGTGACAATGTTCCTGTTTGTGCCCCTCAATTTTATAGACTTGTTAATGACATCAAATGTTTGTTTGTTTTTTTTGGAAGAAATTCATATTTTTATATGGCAAGAATGCATTCAATTGCATAAAAGAGGCAATAAATACATATATGTTACAAACAATGTTTTTGTAACATTTTGCTGCTCTTTCAATTCATCAAAGTGTCCTGAAAAAAATGAATTACGGTTTCCACAAAAAACTTTCAACATGGATAATAAGACGAAATGTTTTTGAGCTTCAAATCAGCATATTAGAATGATTTCTGAAGGATCATAGGACACTAAAAACATATCCATTTAAGATCCATTTTGGCAGCTGAAAATTCCGCTTTGCCATTACAGAAATAAATTACATTTTAAATATATTAAAATATTAAACAGTTATTTTAATTTGTAATAATATTTTCTTTTTTTGATCAAATAAATGCAGCCTTGGTGTGCATAAGAGACTTTTTTCAGAAACAGTATAAAGTAAGTGAAGGTTTTTGGTATGCTTTAAAGCTATTATGCTGTGAGATTTTGAATGTATCTTTTTTTTTATATATATAAAGTGATCACATTAGAAACACCCCTTTTATTTTTTTGCATTATATAGTAAAAATGAAGGTTTTTAAGCATGAATACATGCTTATTATATTCTGCTGACATTTTTTTATATGATAAAGCCAGGGTATTATGGTATAGATATATATTAAGAAATATCATATAGGGCTCTCTAAGCTTAGAGACACTTTTATGGCATCAACAGCACTTTAAAAAAAAAAAAAAACTCAAGATAAGAACTGCCAAAGATTCAGTTAAAGATACTGAAACCTATCCCCAACACAGTGAACAAATTATGAATTTGCCTATTATTTTAATAATAAATCCTGCACTTACAGTGTATATTTTATGCATTCTACAAAATTCAAGAGTACACAAATCTAACACATTTATTGGTCATTTGACACATTTATAAATACAACGTATTGAGTGAATTTGAAATATTTTGGACACTGAAGGTGTTAGTGGTGGTTTTTAGGTCTCTGGGCTGATATAAATCCCAAAACCGAAGGATTTAATTTGAGCCTGTGGGGCCAGTAATATGTTGTAAAAAGTTTTTTTCTTACATTTTCCTAAATTGTAAGCTGAAATATCCACTGTACAGAACAAGCACACTGGCTGCTGAGTGCTAGTCGCATGATCATTGCAAATTAAATTGAACTCTGGCCTGAAACCAGAATGTTAATGCATCCTCATAAATGTATAAGCCTACAAAATATGTCAGAAATTGCAAACAAGCCAAACTTTCTGCATGAGAATGTGTATGGGAAGTAACTTGTGTCTTTAACAGTTTTTAAAAGTGACCAAGTGAATCCATGTTCTGCTTTTGTAATGAAAATTGTTACATTTTCATGTTTAAATGCACCGGAGTGCAATAAATGATATATCCTTTGGATGCCGTGTCTGTTGTGTGCTTTATTGTATTTTAATTTCATACATTTATCATTTTAATTGCTGAAAGCCAAGAATGAAATCTTAAATTTAATATTTAGACTACTTTAGGTTCAGTGTCTATAATTTTGTACAAAACCAAGTCAACAAAAGCATTATTTAAAATAATTGTAGTTCTAAAACACACATTTATTTCACCCAGTATATCTAAAGCAGCTGTACAAATGTTTTACAAGTAAATTTACCTAAGGAATTGTGAAAGGACATATTGCATGCATCGTTAGTCATGAGAGGATATTAACAAATAACGTTTTTAATTCTGAAATGCTGGAAATGTAAAATCAATTCAGCAGAAGACTGCGCGAATCTCCCTCTAGTCACCGAAAATGCTGAAAATCTTTTATTTGCTAGTAGCGCCATCTGCTGGTCGACTCGAGCACCTACGTTTGTTTATATCGGTCCACGTCGAGCTAATCAGGCACTCCCCACACCTCAGTTTAATATAGCTGGAAATAAACATAAAACTGCTGGCTAAGCACAGAGAGATTAATTTGCCATACTTCATGTTCATCTTAAACCAACAGGAGGTGACATGATACGACTCTCAGTTGGTCGCCTCACAGACGGTCAGTCAAGCAGCAGCTGTGGACAGGTGATGCAATTAGCCTAAATTTAGGAGAATTCCACTGTTGTCTTCAAACAGCGATGCCTTTTTGTCATCTATTTACTGGGATGATCCAACCAAATGTTGTTCAAACTCCCTTTAATCCCACAAAATCTGGTAAGTGCTGCAAATTCAATCCCTCGAGGTTCAATGTCTGTTATGGCTGCTTGCGGCACTTTCCAGGAATAGGGTACAATTTGTTGTCCCATTTATTTATTTCTTTTAAAGCATTAGAGGCACAAATCCCATGTTTTTGAACGATTAGATATGTTAGATAAATTATTATCTAACACGAAATTAACCTAGCATGACATACAGCTTTAAACTGGGTATTTCGGCCTGTCAGAGACTACTATTACTAACATTTTTGGCATAATCGGTTTAATTCATTTACAGTTAATTCTAGTAAAATATTTGAATATTATTAAAATATTACACAAATGTTGCTTAAAGTTAAATGCTTAAACAGTCACACAACACACTTACCCCCGGTTTCACAGACGAGGCTCAAACCTAGTCCCAGACTAAAATGTAAATCTGAGCTGTTTTAACTGAAAGACACTTGCACTGACTGATCTTAAAATATATCGGTGCCTCTATTTTGTCTCAAATTGCACACCAGCAATGTTTTTTTCTAAGGCACGTTAATAAAAATTACTTAAATGTCCTAATTGAACTAGCCCAGGGGGGCCCAAACTCGGTCCTGGAGGGCCGGTGTCCTGCAGAGTTTAGCTCCAACTTGCCTCAACACACCTGCCTTCAAGTTTCTAGCATGCCTAGTAAGAGCTTGATTAGCTGGTTCAGGTGTGTTTAATTGGGGTTGGAGCTAAACTCTTCAGGACACCGGCCCTCCACGACCGAGCTTGGGCACCCCTGAACTAGCCTATTGCCTAGTCCTGGCTTAGTCTAAGCCCTGTCTGTGAAACCAGGCCTTAAAGTTTGGTTTTCAGTTTTTCTATGTCCACATTCTATTATCAATGAGGCAGTGCCTTAAGCCTTCAGGAAATTGTACAGAAAATACATACTTGACCTTTTTATACTACAATTAAAGTTTTATACAAATATAATTTTTTTTTATGTTTGTATATTGTATTGATTTCTTGACCATCAGTGTCACACCAAAATATTTCAAATAATTTTCTGTCCTTTTTGTACATTTATGATTGTTACATATTTAACAGAAACTTAGTTAATTTAAGCACTGCAGAACCTATTAGAGACTCATCAATTAACAGTACTGAACTACATGTCCTCTCTGCTAGACTTGCTTCAGTTCTCCAGGATTCTTCTCATCTGAGGTTTCGGTCACTGTTTGCCAAACTGGCAGCCCATTTACCAAACATGTAACAATGTTCTCAGGGTACAAGAACATTCAGTTCTCCAATCATTTCAGCTAATGTGAAACCTCAGCGGGAAATGCGATGGTTATTCCTTTTTAATAGTGTTTTACTAGACTGTGGTAAAAAAAAAAAAAAACACACGCCAACAACCAGTCTGTTTTTTTAAGCTTATTTACTTACACCAATAAAAAAAATGAATTGAACTGTTTACATCTTTGCACCATATTTGCATAAGCCTCTATCATTGCACAAGTTCAGCAGATACCGGCACACTATAGTAATGTTTATAAGGCAGACGAGCACGTAATAATCATACATTTTCATTTATTAAAAGGGGGGGGGGGGGGGG